AAAGCTGGCCAGTGAGTCTGGAGGGAGAAACAATGCACCGGCCTGTTCTGGGAAGCGGATTGGAATAGGCACCCACCTTCTCCATCCATGAAGATGCCACCCATCTCAGGGGACTCAGGGAGTAAGTGGGTTCTTTAGAAGGCTGATCTGGAACCCTGGAAGATGACCTGCTCGGGCGCCTGAGTAGCTGTGAGTGTGGCAGGGCGCCCTGTGTCCCATCACTTATCCTCTGGGAAGCAGCATCTCTTTGCCTGCCACCCCTCGGCCAGAAAGTTCAGCCAAGGTTTCTAGACTGAATGTTTTTACCCTAGATTTTTATTCTCACATGCCTCTGCCGGAAGGTGGAAGGGTGCTGGGAAGAGCAGGGATCTCTCCTTCTAAGGCTCCACTGGCTGAACGAACTTAACCTAATTGTGGAGGGAAGCAATGGCCAATCTCCTGAATTGACCGTAGTTGGCATTTAACCTTCTGTTGGTGCTTAATCTGCCTGGCTCAAAAGAGCTGAGGGCCTTTGTTGCCTCTCATTCTCCCGAAAACCCCAAGCTTTTTAAGGAAGGAGCACTTTTCTTCCGATCTCTGAGGGGGCAGCTCTAGAGGGGGCAGTCTGCTTTCTGGAAAGCCCAGCACAGGCCCTTTCTTCCATGGCCGATGGTGAAGTAGGAAGTGGGGGGAGGAGCTGTGGAGAGGAAGTGGGTGGCAAAGGGCTGGCAGATCACGCTGAAGAAGCCTTACAGCAGAAGCAGGAAGATGGAAGAGTTCAGTTACACCCGGAAGCCTTAATGCAGTTTGTGCTGGAACCACAAAGGACCATGTGGCACATTCACAGAACAGAAAGGGAGCTGAATGCCCACCTGGTGTGCCAGATGTGTTGCATTGGTTAGTATGCCTCTGCCCACTTTGTGCCTTTCTTAGGGGTGGGGGGTGGGGTGAGAAGTGGAGCAAACTTGAATCCAAACCAAACCATGTTAATTCAAAGCTATGAGGTGTTGAGTTCGGTTCATTTTGTTTGAATTAGTGTTGGTGTTGGTCTCATTTTATCTTTTGTATTCTGGATGGCCCAAACCATCATTTTGCCCGAGATGACTTCTCATCTTTGAATGTTCTTGGGAGGACAGACTGAGTGCTTATGGAAGGTCTCTGAGACTGGAAGGAACCTTTTAAATTTACAATCGGCAGGTAACACCCTGGGAGGACAAACTAGTTGGGTTTTACTATCACAAGGTGAGCTGGCTGCCTTGAGCAGTTTATCTTGAGTACCTGTAGAAGAAATTTGATGCAGAAGGTAGGCAGAGCCGATTGGGAATTTGATTGCATTCAGGAAGCTTTTCCATCTCAGCCAGGTTGACCAGGATGGAGATCTCAGAGCTCCAGTTCAGCGTATGGGCCTGGCACTGGTGAGACTCCATGGCAGACAGTGGAAGAGCAGATCTCTGTGGGGATGGCTCTTTCCAACCCCTGCTCGGCTGCTACTTCCTCCTTAAAATGGCCATTCTTCCTGAGACACAATGGTTCTGCTGCTGCTTGTCTGCTTTATTTGCACCACATGGGTTGGGCAAATACATCCTGAGGCAGCTGACAGCAGTGTCTTAAATTGATTGTTCATGATTTTTGCACCCTTAGTAGACATGATGTGGTAGACAGTTTTTTAAAAGGCATCTTGAGTTAGGAGAGAAATAGGGACCCTCTGCTCCTCCAGGCCCTCCAGCAACTCTCATCATTGCCCCTGCTGTTCTACAGCAACTGTGCAGATTAGAGGTCAATGCTTCCTATTTCAAATAATACTTCAAATAATGCATTGTTTGTTTCTTTGAATATTTAGCTAAGAATGGAATAGATACACCAGTACTAAAGTAAAAAAAATTTTAGCCTGTTTGTGTCTCTCACCCTCCCTCCACCCACCCCCCAAAATGTGTTAGATGGCCACAGGCATTACCCTCAGCTGGTAGGGCAATGATATCTGGTGCACCTGAAGAGCATTTGATTGGAGAGAAGTTGCTGTAGGGATATACCTTGTTTTGTATATGGCAGGGATGTCAAACTCTGTCCCCATGGCGTCGCCACATGACGCATTGGGACTTTCCCCCCCTTTACTAAACTGGGCATGGCCAGCATGGCCAGCATGTGACACATCTGACCCAGGGGCTGTGAGTTTGACAGCCCTGGTATATGGGGTCACTCAAGAATTAGAGCTAGTATATGACAAGCCAAGACAAAAGTTTCATGGAGCAGGATTTGGGAGAGGAGATGGGAGTGGGCTGTCTTTTAACATTAAACAGAGCACCTCAAAATGGCCCCACCTTGAAAACAGTGGAATGGCAGGGAGGGAGGCATTGTAATTAAGGTGATAGTAGAGGAAGTGCTTTGAGGCTTCTTTAGAAATATTTTCATGATGGGAAATAATTCTGAGAATTTTTTTTAACAAGCTATCAATGGGAACATTCCTGGACATCAATTGCAAGTAATGTTTTGGGTGGAAGGTGTGGAAGCTCTGTTGAATCTGTGAATGCTGGGAAATCAGTGCAGGGCCTGAGAAAAGAAGCTTTGCCAAGGTTTCACAGAAGGAAAGTCTTAAAGCACAGAATGTACACAATTTTCAGTTGATATTTGTTCCTGGAGGCTGAAGGCCAGGAGCCAGGCTGAGCGATTCCCCCCCCCTCAAGTGGGGATGAAAAGAGATGTTTAAAATAATAAAGAACTCAAAAGGGACGTGTGTATGGTGGGACTTGATGGAAAGGTGAGTGGAAGCTGTGGATTTGGATCTCCGATGGCTCCGCAACACTGTTGTTAATGGCGTGTGGGGCTCAGAGGGGGAGCCTTTTACACCAGGCATGTAGTCCTGAATCTAAAGGATTCTCCTCAGAAGCAGAACAGATTCTTCAAGCCAGATGTCTGCCCTTTCCTAGAATAGGGCGTTAGTGACCATGAAGCCTAGGAGAGCCTGCAGTATAAATGTTGACAGAAGAATAAAAAGTTTGTGTAGGGACATTCATAATAAGGAATTTCATTGCAAACCCTCCACATAGTTCACTTCCAGCAAGCAGATTGTCATGGACCAATATGATTTTTATGTCTTGTTTCCATGTCGATTGTTTCTTATGCCCACCGTCTTCCTATCACTATACTATAAGTGATGGGCTTCCACTATACTGTACTAGTTCAGAACTTTCCAAACATTCTCTGGTGTAGAGTGAGTGAGCTGAGCTTTGAATGTGGGCTTTTATCTTTTGTTTCATTCATGCTGGCTCTGTGATTAGCAGAAGTTAGGCAGGGTAAGACAAACATAGATATTTTCCTATTCAATATATAATTGAATCTGAAGGTGTGATGTTTCATGGAATATGAATACTTAGAATATTTAAAATATTTAGAATATTTAAAAATACTTAGAACTATGCCGCCTTTGGTCTGACCTGAGCATAGTACACAAAATTATCTGCTACAATGTCCTACCTGTCAAAGTCTACTTCAGTTCCAACCGCAACAACACAGGAGCACACAATAGATACAAACTCAAGGTAAACCGCTCCAAACCTGATTGCAGAAAATACGACTTCACCAACAGAGTGGTCAGTGCCTGGAATGTGTTACCTTACTGTGGTTTCTTCCCCAAACCCCCACAACTTTAACCTTAAACTGTCTATTGTTGACCTCACCCCATTCCTAAGAGATCTGTAAGGGGGCGTGCATAAGCACACTAGCGTGCCTACTGTCCCCACTTATTTGTATCCATTTCCTGTATTCATAATCATGTTTACACTTATTTCTGTTACCTTATACATGCTTGATAAAATAAATAAATAAAATAAAATGGGAAGAGGACATTCATGTAAACCTGCTGGAAGCCCTTCATGTGTGATGCTATCAGTTACCTTCTATGTGGTTCTGGGGCACACGGAATGAGGAAACAGGGAGGCTGACAGGAATCTGCCAAGGGAGTTCCTCTGGAGGAAGCAGTGAAAATGACAAAGCAGCTGAAGGTTTTGAGAGACTGTTTGCTAAACTATGAGACCTGACAAAGGAGTAATCTCTTGAGTAGCTGCCAGCTGCAAGTGGGTATGACCTAAAAGCTGCCAGATGTCGAGTGCAGGTGACTGTTTCCTCCTTGAGAAACAGATAGTGGGGGGAGTATAAGGCAGCAAACTTCCTGCTCACTAAATGAAGGAATAGGAAATGGGAATCTGCCTGGACAAATGGGAAGAGGAGCCCCTAACAAATTTTCTTTACAAGAGATTATTTATACATAGCAAACCTGAGAAGAGAAGGAAAAGAAAGAAACTTTATTTTCTACTGGTGGAGGGCTTCCCTTTTTTGATCTTGGGGTTTACATGATAGCTTTTATATATCTCCCACCTTGAAATATACCGCAGTTTGGGGCATACAGGTTGCCTCCTTGATTTAAAGAAACATTAATGGATCAGTTTGTTTATTTGCTACTTTTATACTTATAGAAATTTGCATCCTTGAGACAGGAACTCTTTGGAATATTTCTGATCTGGTTTGAACCCTTTTGAAAGTTGCGCTCCTTTATAATCCCATAGACTCAATGCTAGGAAAGTTGAATTCTCCCTCTGCACCCAGAGAGCACATTCTATGACACAGGAAGCATCTTCTGGTACATATTACAGGACTCAACAGTCCCTGACTCTGCAAGCGACTTTTTGAAAAATGAAGAAAGGCTGCATGTCCTGCTGTCCTTTGATTCCGTCTTTCCCCAGAGGATGAAACAGAGGAGGCAGAGCCATCTAGTCAAAATAAATACATATTTTAAAAAAAGATTAAAATATATCTATGGAGAAAACATCCCCAAACCCTCTATTGGTTGCAAAGAAACCTGCAAACCTGCAGCGCTCTGGGAAGTGGGCTGGCGTCTGGAAGGGGGCCTAAACTACAGGCCTAAAAGAGGCGTTGCTTGCAAACCTACAATAGGAAAGATTGTAGCTGTGTTTATTTTCTCAGGTGATCGAAAAAGTAACTTGTTTGCATTTTCTCTCATTTTGCAGATGAACGGGACCGGGTCCAGAAAAAGACCTTCACAAAATGGGTGAATAAGCACCTGATGAAGGTAAGCCCCACAGACCTTTGATTCCACTAGATCTGCTCTTCCTTTTCCACTTCCTCCACCCTTTCATTTTTAAACAGCAGAAATAAAATAGTCTCCGAAGCAAAACAGCGTTGGGTGAATGAAGATTGATCAACATGCTGAGTAATGGCCGGTCTTCAGTACTTATAGCAGATTTTCCTCCTCCAGTGAGAATTTCTCCGCATGGGGGTTTCTCAACTTTGGCAGCTTTCAAAGGGGAACTTCGGCTCAAAGAATTTCTCAGCCAGCTTTGCAGGCTGGAGATTTCTGGGAATTGAAATCCACCCCTTTGAAAAGCTGCCATGGTTGAGAAAGTTTGTTCTACACATTTTCTTGCTCCCTGCAGTTCTCTCAGCAGCCGCACAGCATTGTCTCTCTTCTCTGTCCCCACAGGTGCGCAAGCACATCAATGACCTCTACGAGGATCTGCGAGATGGTCACAACCTCATCTCTCTACTGGAGGTCCTTTCGGGTGTCAAGTTGGTGAGTTTCCAAGATGCCACAAAGCAAAGGACGTTCCCAGGGCCAGGTTAAGACCGAGATGTGCCCCTAACAGAAACAAATCCCTCACACCAGGAGATTGAAACAAGTGCAATTTCTGACAATTCCTTCAAACCCATCCTTCAATCTTTAGTGCCAAATAAAATGTTTTTAAATAATGTTGATTAAAATCGAAGATGGCAGATAAGAACAATTATTTAAAAAAACAACTAAAGTTGAGTGTAGTGATGAAAAAACAATGTTTCTCAACCTTGGCCATTTCTAGGAATATGGACCGCCAAAATTCTTGTCAATTGTATCTCAGCTTTTGGGCTAACTCAAGTGTAGTATCTTATGAATGGCCACGCTGGCAGTCAAATTCTGGATTGAAGTCCACATACCTAGAAATGGCCAACACAGGGAAACACTGAATTAAAGACATGATAGGGGGGAAATCTGGAGTGCCCCCCTTCCCTTGGTGTCCTAAGTGTGTCCTTCAGAACCTACCATATTTTTAGTGACTCCCAATCAAAGTTCTTTGCCTCTCAATCCTTTCCTTTTTTTATTTCTTTCCCTTGGACACGAAGCACGTTCTCTGCCATCCAAAAGGTTTGGTCTTAAACTGTTTCCACAGCAGCAGCAGCAGCAGCAGCAGCAGCTGGCCTGAGCCCTGTAATTTTTGGATCTCACCAAACTTTTTTCCCTATCAAATGGATCCCTTCTGGAAGCTCTGAATGCTTGGCGAATGTGGGCTGTGAAAGTTCTGGAGGAGCTATGCATTTGAAAATTCATTTTTAGTCAGGCAAAGAATGTGTTTGTGCACTGCTCTTCCTGTGCATTTGTTGGGTGTGGCATTTTTCTTTCTTTTGTGTGTGTCCCATGTACTTCCATTCAGTACTGTACTGTCCATCCTATTTATTAGCCCAAGGAAACCTCAGGGCAGAAGACTGTTTGCTTGGTGAAAGTCCCACCCTGGAGTCACTTGGGCAGCGAAGAGTGTGAGGAGCAGGAGGAGGAGGAGGAGGAGGATACAGTAGGTCAATGACCACCATGGAGGAGCAATAGCAACTGGTACTGGACACATTCCGATAATCCTGAAATACCTCAGATTTCAGGCAGGACTTCCAGCATCTTCTAAGAAATGGAAATGACCAAATTACAGATGGCAGATTAGCCTGTGAGCCGGCGTCTTCCCCACGGCCTTCTGGTTAAATTTGCGGGATGAAGACAGGTGGTTTTCTTTCCAGAATTCTACTCTGGAGCTACCTCTGGGGGTGTGGGTAGCTCACCTGCCCACGAAAGAGCCAGATGGAGCTGGATGTCTCCAAATGCTGCAGACCAAAGGAAGCGGAGGATCCAGCAGAAGTGGGGGGGAGGGGGGACCAAAGGGAAAGAGTGACCACCCTCATTTCATACACCCAGAACCTCACTCAGTTGCCCACATGTTGTGCTATCCTGGAGGCTCCAGGGCCCATTGCTCTGAGGCATCCAACAAAGCAAGGGAAAAGGGCTTCTTTTCTTTGCTTCCCTTTTACAAGGTCTCCCATTGCCCTAAAACCTTGGCAGCTGAATCCATGTTGATGCTGCCAAGGGAAGAGTGGGCATGCTGCTTTTCTTTCAAAGGGAATACAAACTTCCTTTCCCCCTGCCAGAGGCTGGAATAGGATTTCATTTAGGACTTGAAGGCTGTGAGGAATCCACTGGATTATCTGGATGTGTTTCTGGTGTCGGTAGCTGGGGATGTGTGAAGAATACTAACTCACGTAGTGTGAGCACACAATGGTTTGCCTTTTTTCCAGGTCTTGCACACTTCCACAACCTTCTTTTGTTCCCAGATTTGTAACCCTCAGGGCAGCCTTCCTCAGACTTCCAGATGTGTTGGGAATGGGGCTTCCCAAATTGCTAGTTGTGTTTTTGGTAGTGAACACACTAGGAAGCCACCTGTCACAATATACAGGGGAAACTGGCAGAAGGTTTTCCTCTGTGTGGAGAAACAGACCAGGATTCTTCCCAGAACAGTCTTGTGCAGCCGAACCAGCATTTGGTTCTGCAGGCTGCCCGCTCGCTTGCCTCTTAAACCAGAGGATTCCCTCGATGTGCTCTGCAAAGAAAGCAGCCTTGCTACAGGCAGCCGGATCTCTGCTTGGCCACAGAGGAGCATTGTGTAGACAGGGGCCCCTTAAGGAGGAGACTTACGCCTTCCTGTGTAGGGATGAGAGAGCGATTGGGGCAAAGGGCCCTCCAGGAGTTGTCTCCTCCTTCCCAGATGAGCCTTTTTTAATTTTTTTTTTTTTTACATTATTTGTACAGGCTCTCATGATGACATTGATTGTGGTCCCTCCCATTTCCCCCAGGTTGGGCTGAGGGAGGCATCTAACCCTGGCCTTGGGAACAGGAGGGGAGGAATCCTTCAAGGGGATTCTGTGGCTCTTGAGAAAGAGAGAAGCCTGAGAAACTCAGGAGAAGCCTAAGGCTGGGAAGAAAGGAACTTCACAGGATTTCAACGTCCTGCTATTCCACTTAGTACTTTACTGTAAAGAGCACTTCGTGGCTGTTTCTTCATTTTGCACCCCCCAAAAAATCAGTGTGGGGTTATTTTGACAGATTAACAGAGTTGGAAGGGGGCTTATAGGTCATCTAGTCCAACCCCCCACTCAAGCAGGAGACCCTACATCATTTCTGACAAATGGCAGTTTCTTTCTGATGCTTCTCTTTTCTCAGGAAATCGGGGTGCAGGAAGCACCTTTTCTGTCATGATAACTTTGCATGGCTTTCCTCCCCTGGAAGGCTCCTTCCTCCTTTCCTCAAGGCCAGTTCTTCACCCCTTCTTAGGTTGAGGCCGGATTGAACACAGTGTGTCTGCTCTGGGTCCAGCATCTTCACTACTCTCCCCCACTGCCAGGTTTTCACCCTGAGACCCCCAGAGGCCTTGTTAAAAACAACCTTTGATGGCTGCCTGCCTTTGCTGCTGCTTCTCACTTGTGCTTGAGAGTCATCAGGTTGCTCCTGGGCTGGGAGCATCTCTTTGGGTGGCTCGGCACTCTTTTTCCCGGGGGGGTGGGTGGGGGTGGGGGTTAGGGGTAGCTGTCCCTTCATTGGCTGCTGCAGGACAGTTGCACAGGGCAGCTCGGGTGATGGGTAGCCCCTTGGGTAGGGCAGACCAAGGGGAGAAGGGGACATGCTCCTGGCTGTAGGGTGCAACCGAGTTGTCACTTACTGCAGCATGCTTTTCATGTTATTGCTGACCACTCTGTGACCTTGCAGGGCCTGAGTCTGCCAGGCAGTGGCTTCACTCTGGTCAAAGGAGCCGTGCAACTGGCTCCTCTCCTCCTCCTCCTCCTCCTCCTCCTCCTCCTCCTCGGTTCGGTCCACCCAGGGGAATATTTCATGCAGCCTCCCTCATTTCTCACCACCTGTTTTGCTTTTTTTTGCTCCCCTGGACTTTTTCCAAAAGCCCCCCCACCCCCAATTCTCTGGTCCTCTAGATATTCTGGCTTTTGGCCCTGCAGTTCAAAGTACTTGGAGGGTTGCAGTTGGGAAAAGCGCTCTTAAAGCATCCAGGCTGTGCCTTTACCTCTCCCCTTCAATTGTTGCTTGATTACAGCCACAGTAACTCCATATGGGTTTCCTTGTAGTGGGGGCCATATGGCACCCCAAGCCAAAATCCTTGTATGAAGCCACACACACACACACACACACACACACACACACACACACACACACACACACACACAAAAACACGATCCAAAATTACATTTTGTGTGAGAGCCCCTAGCATTGCCTGAAGTTGGCAGCTGACTCCCCCAGATTTTCATCAGGCAACCCGTAAACAAGAAAACAGGGTAAGAAACCTGAGCATTCCTCTTGTTCAACCCCCAGCCCAATAAAGAGCAGTCAACTTGAGCACAGACCCAAAGGTGAGCAATGCTATGAGGAATCTCAGCTGCTCATCCATTCAGTGAATGTCTATGGAGACTCTCAGTCCTCCAGGTCAGGGTTCTCCCAAAGGTGCTTTTTGGAGAGGAAACTGGACTTTTTGGTTTTTCTTTGAAGATATTTCGCGTCTCATCCAAGAAGCTTCTTCAGCTCTTCTTCTTCAGACCTGAAGAAGCTTCTTGAATGAGAAGCAAAAGGTCTTCAAAGAAAAACCAGAAAGTCCATTTGCCTCTCAAAAAAGCACCTTTGGGACATTCAGTGGATGGGTGAACGTCCCTGTTCCTCATCTTGATAAATGACATGCCCCTCCCCCTTTTTTCATTTTCCCTTGGCCTTGTGCCATCTGAAAGAGCCTTGTCAGCTCCCTCAGCCTTTATGCCGTGTTGCTCTCTCTGCTTAGAGGTGCCACCAACTGCTGGAAGCAAGGCAAGAATTTGGCCTACCAGTCCCTGCACTGCCAGTGTATCCCACCAGCTGTTGATCTGTGGAGAAACATGCTTAGATTAGTTTCCCTTCCCCCAATGCTTGTCAGATAGGTTGGATTACCCCATAATTTCCCATTGGCCCATTTGGTGAGCTTCAGATTGGAGAAGGCTGTTGGAGCTCCAAGTTGTCCTCTTTGGTTGGTCTGTAACAGTTTTAAACAGGGTGACAAAAAGGGTGGGCTTATTTAGCAATTTCCTTTCGCCTTTCTCCCTCAGGCTGATGAATTGCTAGCAGATAAGCCAATTCAGACCCAGACCTTCCTGAAGGGGCCCTCGCATTTACAGAACTGTCAGTCACTGAGTTTTTAAGAAGTGGGGACTTCCGTTCCCAGAATCCCCAACCAGCATGCTGGGGAATAGTGGCTGGGGAAGTCTGAGACTTGAAGTCTACAAATGCTGGCTGGGGAATTCTGGGAGCTGAAGTCCTCACACCTTCAAGTTGCTGCGATGGAAGAATCTTGATTGACTGGATCAGAACTTTGCTTGTCTTCTGTAGCTGTTGCTCCAAGCCTTTGGGTCACATGACATGGCCCAGCTGAGCCCTGCAGGGACAGATCCCACCAGGGGGGTTCCAGGCTTCTCTTGAGATGGCAGGAGGGCTGAGCTCCATTGTCTTTTTTCCAGCCTCGAGAAAAGGGGAGGATGCGCTTTCATCGCCTGCAGAATGTGCAGATCGCGCTTGACTTCCTCAAACAGCGACAGGTAAGTGCATCTCCCTGTGGCCCCTCCTGGAGGAGGGGAAATGTGGTGCCTCCACCTATTCTTCCATCTTTTCTCTGTTGGTGTTTCACTTTGCTTATTGCACTTAAGTTGAGGGAGTGGTGAAGTTAACCGAGTTTGCCTTTTGTCATGGAGCAACCTTACATGTTTAGTTGAGCTTGGAATTTAGAGCCTCACTTCTTCCTCTTTTTGTCTCCCCAAGAGTGCTGTGAGGGGGGCCAGGCTGAGAGAGAATGGTCATCTGAAGCTCCAGAGCGATAAGAAGGGATTCAGACCAGTCTCACTTCTCATTTGTCCACCACCACATTGGTTGCCCACTACATCCACACCTCCTTGACCTAGGGACCCAGAGAAGATAGTCACCCTTCTGGATAATGTCAGTCTTCAAAACAAAATCAGAGGGGGCCTGTTAGGCAGAGAAGGATGTGTAAGTTGAGGAAATAAACATATGAATGCACCCAGAAACAGAAATGTTGACTGCAGAAATGGAGTAATTTGGAAAACCACACAGAAATGTGGACCATTTCAGAATCCAGTTTCAGTCATTAAAAAAAAAGTTATCAGGAAGTGCATGAACAAATCGAGGGAGAGGAGGCTTCTGCTAAGATTTCCCCGCCTTTGCCCCAGAGGCATTCGGACCAGAGCTCTTTGCAGATGCCATGGCAGTGAGGGAGCAGCCCAGGACTCAGCAAGCGGCCAGCCGGTTCACATAGAGGGCTGGAGAGCCCTGCTTGCAATGTGTTTGTTGGGGAAAATCCCAATTCGAGTCTGGAGTAGCGACACCTTTTCCTCCTTGTCCTGTCCTGACAGGCTCACTTGGGAATTGAGGTGTCGACAAGGGTGAGCTTCATTCCCCACGGCCACTGGGGACTGCTGGCTCGCAAGAGTGCCAACAGCTTAATGGTGTCCGTCGCCCTGTGTTTAAAAATACACCCGAGTCTTGCTGGAGGCACAGGGTTCATCCTTCCACTCCTCTGCCACGTGATTGCAAAGAGCAGGAGAAATGCTCGCCTGTCAGGACGGATTGTAGACAGGGTTGTCATTAATGCCCTTCTTAATTCCAGGGCGGGAGTGAGAGCGTCCGGAGCACCTTTCAGAAATCACACCGTGATTAAGTCTTAGCACACTCAGGATCTGTCTTGTGTTCCCCAAGCTGGAACCCCCAGGCCTGCTGGATCTGGCGCTCCCCAAATTCCCAGTTCTCGCAGCCCCAGATGGGAATTGGCCTGGGAAATGCTCCAATCAGCCAGCTGGATCTGTGGTTTGGTTCAGGCGAATCTCCTCTGGTTACCTTCCGAACCTCCCCATCTGGAGGGTCGCAAACTAAAGAAATAATCCCTGGGGTTAACGCACACAATGCTCAAAATAACAAAACAATCAAGTAGCAGTGTTTTGAGGCACAAAAGGGGAGTGGGGTTCCAGTATTTGAGAGGCTGCCACAAAGAAGAGGGGTTCAAATTATTCTCCAAGGCACCGGAGGGCAGGACAAGAAACAATGGTTGGAAACAAATCAAAGAAAGAAGCAACCTGGAATTAAGAAGAAACTTCCTAACAGTGATGACAATTAACCAATGGAACAGCTGGCCTTCAGAAATCGTGGTTGCTCCGTCACTGGACGTTTTTAAGACGAGACTAGGCCAGGGGTGTCAAACTTAAGGCCGGGGACCGGATGGGGTACTTAGATCCAGCCCATGGGACTGCCCTGGAGACAGCGAAGGACAGGGCTGTGGTGCCTCTGCCAGCGTGCAGCCTCCCAAGCTCCAGTTTTGACTGCAATGGCCTCCTGCAGCCCTCTGCCAGGGAAAATGGAGCTCAGGGAGGCCATGTGCAAACTAAAAGAAAAACAAAATAAAAAGGAGAAATGTTTGTCCTTTTGCATTTGAGCATCCAAGAAGGGACCGGAAAGGAGAAAGGGAAAGAGGGAAAGAAAAAGAAGGAAAGTCAGGAAGAGAGCAAGGAAGAAAAAAGGAAAGAAGGGAAGGAAGGAAGGAAAGGAAGGAAGGAAGGAAAGAAGAAAAGGAAGGAGACAATGGATCTCCCAGCCCCACCCGGACCACCACAGTTGTCCCCGACACGAGAGACATTGAGTTGGCCACACCCACCTGGCCCCACAATTTTTGTGGTGGTCTTTTAGTAAATGCAGGGGTTTTAAAGTTCATAAAGAGAATGCTGTAGTCATCAAGTGAACCAACGGTTGGCTATGGGCGATTCTGTTTTGTCAAAAAACAGAAGTGCCAGTTTTTGGTGGACACTGCAAACAGCCCCAACTATCATCACCTGAGGCTTGGTCATATTATTACTGAAGGGACCCAACTAACGGAACTTCTATTCCATGTCATAAGTTGAGGTCTATCTGTACGGCCAAAAGCTCCTCATCCCTCAAGTGAGAGATCTTCAGACCTTCTGGCCACAGCATTGCCCACTCTCCACAGAGACCCCTCAGCTGAGGGATGTGCTCGGAAGGCCTCTCAATGGGCAGCAGAGGTTGAGCGAGGGATGCTCCAGGCTCCCTTCCAATCCCTTTGCACAGGCCCAAGCCTGTCCCCTCCCTGCTTGCCTCTCGGCAGCCTGATTCAGGTGGGGAGGTTCTTAGGAACACAAGGCACCCGGGATGCCTCATAAGCTTCTGGTTCAGATTTGCCTTGGCAAATCTTGTTAGCTGTGCTCTCTATACACAGGAGAGCATTGTCTGGCTATGTGCAGCATATTTGTGTGAATCGCTTGGTCTAAAAAGTATTTTACTTATGAGCGGGTGTCCTTCCCCCCAATTCCATTAAAATGAGGTAGGTATTGTGTTCTTTCCAGGAGTTGGTTGTGAGTTCAGCATGTGCAGGCTGGCATTCTGTGAGGTCTGCAGGTTAATTCTTGGAAAGATAATCCTTGGGCTGGAGATGACATAACTAATCTTGGTGCCCTCATTCACATGCCGATAGATACAGTAGAGATTAGCTCTTGGGAAAATTAATATTTAAAAGCTGTAGGGCAGGAATGTTTGAAAAGTGTCAGGGCAGAAGCTTTATAGGAATGTGACCATTTGGGGCATCTTAAGTACACTATATTGCCAAAAGTATTCGCTCACAACTGATTCTGATTATGTGGATGGGGTACTTTTGGCAATATAGTGTATGTTATGAAACTAAAACTCAGATACATAATAAACACTGAATATTTTTCAGTATTTGGCAGTGTGATTTACAAATCAGAGATGCAAATGCAAATGTTAACAACCAAAAATACCCACAGATGTATGCATAAAACAGGTTCATTCATTTATTCATTTGATATTATTAACCGCCCAACTCCAGTGGACTCTTGGTGGCATAAATTCATAAAAACGAATAAAACATCAAACCAAGTAAGCAACCCAGACCAAAGCAGTCTTATAAACAGCAATATCAAAGAAAATAGGTCCTAGACAGACTTCAATACAGGCATGGGGCCATAACCAGGTCTTAAGAGTTTTCCAGACCCTGAAGATATCCCCCTCCCCCCATCTCTGCAGATGTTCTGGTACAGTTTGTGGGCAGTGACAGAGAAGGTGCCCGTCCTGGATCCTGTCAGATGACCATGTTTAGTGGAGGGGACCTGGAGGGCACCGGCCAGTACCAGGCAGGCAGAAGCTGTTGGAGAAGGGCTTTCTCTCAGATATCCAGGCTCTTTGCTTTTATAGGTTTTATTACATTCTTAGAATAGAATGAGCTGGAAGGGACCTTAGAGGTCTTCTAGTCCGGCCCCCTCCTCAAGCAGGAGAACCTATACCATTTCAGATAAGTGACTGTCTAGACTTTTCTTAAAACCCTCCAGTAATGGAGTGCTCACGATTTCTGGGCGCAAGTTGTTCCATTGGTTAATTGTCCTCACTGTGAGGAAGTTTCTCCTTAATTCCAGGTTGCTTCCCTCTTTGATATGATTTCCAACCATTGTTTCTAGTCCTGCCTTTCGATGCTTTGGAGAATAATTTGACACACACAGCCCTTCTTTGTGGCAGCTCTCAAACACTGGAATATTACTATCATGACATCCCTAATTCTTCTTTCCTTTAGACTAGCCAAACCCAAATCCTGCAGCTGTTCTTCCTATGGTTTAGTCTGCAGGCCTTTGATCATCTTAGTTGCTCTTCTCTGAACTATTTCCAAAGCCTCAACATCTTTTTTGTAGTGTGGTGACCAAGATTGGTTGCAGTATTCCAGGTGTGGTCTTACTAGGGTTTTATAAAACAGCACTAATATTTTATATGATTTTGATTCTATGCCTCTGTTTATACAACCAAGCTTCTGTTAGCTTTTTTGGCTGCTGCCGCACACTGCTGGCTCCTGTTTAAGGGATCGTCCACAAGTACTCCAAGGTCCCTCTCACAGTGACTGTTTTTGAGCCAGGTCTCGCCTAATCTGTACTTACATCTTTGATTTTTTCCGCCTAAACATAAAGTTTTGCTTTTCTCCACATTAAAGTTCATTTTTTGGATAGGGGCCATTATTCAAGTTGTCAAGATCTTTTTGGATCCTGAGCTTGTCTTTTGGGGTGTGGGCTATTTCTTGCCACTTAGTATCATCTGCAAATTTGATGAGTTCCCCTTCTATTTCCTCATCTAAGTCATTTATGAAGTGACGTCCAACAGCTTGAATCACATTTCGAAGCCAACTACGAAGCAGTGGTGGCCCAGAGGCACGATGGAGGGGCCCCTTTGCTGCTTCTGCTGCTGCTTTTGGGGTCATCTGTAGCTTCTGGCTGGTCTTCAAGGGCAGTCCTGTGTGGGGGCCTGACAATTATTTCTGTGTACATTAGAACAGTGGTCCCCAACCTTTTTATCGCCGCGGACCAGTCAGCCTTTGAT